TTCAACAGGGCAAGTACAAGGTCCTTGTATTGTGCCATGCGTCCTTCCCTTGCTTCCATGTTACCGGTCACCTGCCCTACTATCAGGCTAGAGTCAGATTTGATACTGACCCGGCTGATTTTCAGGGCTTGGGCAAGTCTGAGCCCTCCAGCCAGAGCTTCATATTCTGCCTCATTGTTCGTCAGCTTGAAGTTGAAGACGATTGCATGGTAGATCTTGAACCCTTCTGGGGTGGTGAACACGATACCACCCCCGTATCCTCTAGGACCGGATGCCCCATCAACTGCCATCTCCCACCATTGCTCAGTGGGCTTGTTGACCGGTAAGTCTGGAGTTAGACCGGTCATTTCTACTAGGAAGTCAGCAAGGGCCTGTCCCTTAATTGCCGACCTCGGCCGGTACTCAATGTGGAATTGAGTTAACATCATCGCCCACTTCACCATCCTCCCGGAGGATGTTGAATTTCGCAACACTGCACCCAGCGGTTGGTCAGTCAAGACATCTACCGGGTGAGCTTGGAAGTAGGATGTTAACTTTTTTGCGGAGATGAAAAGCGCATAGGCTGTCTTTTCCATCGCCGTATATCTACTCTCAGCCCCGTTTAGTGCTTTGCTCACATAATAAATGGGCTTTTGCGCCCCATCATCTCTTATTAAAACGGAGCTTACAGCATTTGGGGAAATTCCCAGGTACAGATACAGAGTTTCACCCGGTTCAGGTTTAGACAATACAATATCCGACGCTAGGTACTCTTTCAGCTCCTCGAATGCCCTTCGGCATTCTTCGTCCCATGCGAATGTGTTGGCCTTCTTCAGAACATTGAAGAAGGGCAGGGATCTCTCAGCTGACTGGGAAAGGAACCGGCTGAGGGCCGCTAAACATCCGGTCAACTTTTGAACATCCCTAACGGAGGTAGGGGCTTGCATTTCAGTGATGGCCCAGATTTTTTCTGGGTTGGGCTCTATTCCTCTCTTGGTCACCATGAATCCCAGGAACTTCCCGGTACGAACCGCGAAGACGCATTTCTTAGGATTCAGCCGGAGGTTGTACCTTGCCATGATATCGAATGTGGCTCGCATATCAGCCGGGTGGTTCAGAGATACCTGGCTTTTGATCAGCATGTCGTCGACGTATGCCTCCATGGTCTTTCCCAGTAGTGGCTTGAAGAGCTTGTTCACCATGCGCTGGTAGGTTGCCCCCGAGTTCTTCAAGCCAAACGCCATTACCCGGTAGCAGTAGGTTCCTTCGGGCGTGAGGAATGACGTCTTCTCTTCATCCTCCTTGGCCATGTAGATTTGGTGGTAACCCTTGAAGGCATCCATGAAACTTAGGAGTTCGCACCCCGCAGTCTCGTCCACCATTTGATCTGGACTGGGAAGGGGGTATGAATCCATCGGACAAGCCTTGTTCAAGTCCGTATAATCCACACACATTCTCCACGTGTCGCCCTTGGGAGCAAGGACAACGTTGGCCAGCCAATTCGGGTACTTGACTTCCCGGATGTGACCAACACTGAGGAGGTCTTTCACTTCCTTCTTGACGAAGTCTCGCCGGTCACTGGCCAGGTACCGCTTCTTTTGGCGTACCGGTCGACTTCCCTCCCTCACGGCCAACCGGTGGCAGATAACAGAGCGATCTATTCCGGGCATATCCGCCACGCTCCATGCGAATATGCCCGCGTATTCTTGGAGGACCCGTGTAATCTGTGCCTTGAGATCCTCGGGGAGATTATCTCCAATCCTGACCATCCTCGAAGAATCACCCGGGTAAATTTCGATTTCCACCGTCTCGGCCTCGGGCTCCAATTTCTCCCGGGTCTCTCCCTTTGTGATTTCTTGGGATATGATATTGACCCCCTTGGTCATCTTCTTGACTGCCCGGGCATAGCACTCCCGGGCGTTCCTCTGGTCGCCCTTCACCTCACCCACACCACCTGGAGTGTGGAACTTCATGCATAGATGAGGCATGGAAATCACTGCCCCAACTTTATTGATGCCTGGCCTTCCAAGAATTGCGTTGTGGACGCATTTGATGTCCACAACTATGAACCGCATCTTCTTTCACACGGTCTTTTCACCTGATCCTAGTTCGACCGGTAGAACTATGGATCCTTCAGCTTCAACGGTGTCCCCCGTGAAGCCTGAGAGAGGGGTTTTGAGGGGTTCAAGTTGTGTTCGACACAACCTGAGTTTCTGGAAGGTCTCCAGGTATAAGATGTTGACACTGCTAACGGTGTCAACAAGTACCCGGGCGACATCCACCCCATTAATGTCCATGGTGATGACCAATGGATCATTGTGATCTTCACTGGTAGGAGGGAGATCCCGGTCAGTAAAGACGATAGGCTCCCTCCTAGTATGCTTACGCCTGGGCGGTTCAGCACTTACCTCTCCAACGTAAATGCTCCGGACCCAGTTCTTCCGCTGTGCGGCTGAATCTCCACCCTCGGGTCCGCCGAAGATCATGCCGATGTGTTCCTTTTCGGGGGCAGGTTGCCGCTCCCTTGGCCGGTTATTCCTCCGTCGGTCGTTGTCCCGGTGATTCCCTGGGGCAGTTGGCCTAACCCATTAATGACTCTTCTCCTGGGCTTTCTGCAAGTAATCTTTGCCCAGCTCTCCACTGTCGATCATCTGCCGGATTACTCCCTTAACACTTTTGCATTCGGAGGTGTTATGGGAATCTGACCTGTGGTACGAACAATAGGTGCCTGACCACTGCCGCCCTACTTGACCGGTAGGGTTTTCTGGAGGAATGACTGGTGCTTTCCGGACTTCTTGGCATTCCTCCGTATTGACCACTCGGATGACCAGGTCATAGTGGTGCCTCGGCCGGCTAGGTCCCGGTGCTTCTTCTTCTTGACTTGCACCGGCTTGGACTTGTGACCATGCTCAGCCTCTCTCTTTGCCCGGAGCTGGGTTTCAACTTCAGCAAACTCCCATGCGGTGTGGTAGGCCTCTTGGTACGTGGCTGGGGGCTTCCGGAAGAACTCCTTGTATAATTCCCCAGCACGCAAGCCATTCAAGAGGAGGGAGAGGACGGTCTTGTCATCCATCTCTTCCACCTTTTCCACCTCTTCCTTCCACCGGGTAAGGAACTGAGTAAGGTTCTCAGACTCCCTCTGCCCGGCTGTACTAAGATAGGTGAATTTCTTCCTCTTAGTACAATTCTCCTGGAACTTGGCCTTGAACTTTGAGGCCAAATCATTGAACGAGTCAATGCTTCCCGGGCGAAGCTTATTGAACCATTCAGTGGCTCGGTTCCGCAAGGTCTGGAAGAAAAGAAGGCACTTTTCTTCATCGGTG